AAGCGCCGACCATGGTGATGGTGTGGGCCGCCATAACAGCGGTCGGTATCCGCTCGTCATCATTCTAGCTTCCGATCAAAATGAAGCAGGTTGATAAAAATTTACTCAAATGTATATTATGTCTGAAGGACTTTTGGTATTAAAAATGGGCCATGTAGGTCCACGTTTTGGTATAGCCTCCATATAATGGTACCTCCCTTTTTTCGGTATTTTTGGTGATTTAAGCGACATTATTCACCGGAAATGTTTCAAATTTGGTATTTGAAGTTCGTAACGGATGCTTCAGCCTATGGCAAAAAATTATCTGTGCAGGTCCTTGTCTTCGTATAGCCCCCCTATAACGGTACCTCACGATATTCGGTATTTTGATGATTTTAGCGACATTATTCACCGGAATTGTTTCAAATTTGGTATTTGAAGTTCGTAATGGGTACTACAGCCTATGGCAGAAAATTGTCTGTGCAGGTTCACGTCTTCGTATAGCCTTCATATAACGGCACCTTCACATATTCGATATTTTAGCGACATTATTCACCGGAATTGTTTCAAATTTGGTATTTGAAGTTCGTAATGGATACTACAGCGTATGGCAGAAAATTGTTCATGCAGCTTCACGTCTTCGTATAGACCCCCCTATAACGGTACCTCCCTATATTCGGTATTTTAATGATTTTAGCTACATTATTCACCGATTTCTTTCTCAAGTTTCGCATTTGAATGTTGTAATGACTTATCACAAAGGTTGCCTATGCAGGTCCACGTCGATTAAAAGAGTAAAAAGACCCCTATGTGGGTCTCTTGAATTGTTATCAGTACTTTTGCCGGAGGACAGTGTAAACCAGGTTAGCGTAGCCCAGAAACCACACAATTAAATTTAAAATTAAATAAAACTGAGGTTTTTCAAATAACGCCACATAAAGACAAAACCAAATTCCATTTTTTTGTCACCCCGCACTGAGGTAGACCACAACCAGCCACTTCCTGTCCTGTCTTTATCCACCTTTACATGTTTGAAATCATAAATTATGCAAATATTGTTACAACAATTTCAATAAAACCGCCATTTGAAAATGAGTCTTCATTTTATGTTTTGAACGGGTCATGTACTTATTTCAAAAAAAAAAAAAAAGAAAAAAAAAATGAAAACGAAACAAAAATAAAATCTTAATTAATTCCTAATGAAACCCAAATAGAGTGTGACTGTCTACATTTTGAGAAATAAAATATAAATCATATTTCAAAACAAAAAACAACTGTACACTATAATGAACGGAATGGAATATTGAAAAAATAAATAAATTCATATTTCGATTTCGTATTTTTTCTTGTTTCAATTCAGTTTTATTTTGAACTTTGCTGACACCAACCCACCAAAAAAAGCAACAAAAAGAAAATGTTTTTCTTTTTTTCCTCCATTTCAGCTGATAAGAATTTTGCTGCTGCTGGCTATGGCTGGATGGGTGGATTCACTATTGACTGACTGGCTGGCTTCTGCTGGCTGACTGGCTGGTGAGTGGTGCTTAAAGTACAACAGCATTATGTATCTATGTGTGTACATACGTACGTGTCTGTATGTGGCACGGAGGGTACACAGAAAATACAAAATCAAACTGTACATATATGTACGAAAATTCAAGTTACACGTCTCGGCTGGATGACAGGCAGGCAGGCAGGCGAGCAGGCTCAGAGACACACAAACAAATGAACATTAATTCAAGTTTTAATTCGTTGTCGTCTTTCAGACATACATTTAGCAAAATAAGCTCTACACTCACTCATACACAACAGCAGTAGAACGAATGATCGACAAATGCCTGCAGCAAGCATGAATAATACAATTTTTTCGTCATTAATTGCATTCACAAAGCTAAGTATTGAGTATTAAATGTTAATTAAATACGAAACATATTTATAAAGAAGCGTACAATAATTTTTATATATCAAGTCGAGTGCATCAATACCCAATAATTTTGCGAGGCATATAAATGTAGGACCTGATATTCGGGATTTTAGCGAAATTTTTTGGCAATTTCCTAGCAGAGAATATTTAAAGTTCGGCACAATTCTTCAACACAGCATTATTTTCGAAGGATGATGCCAAAGAAGAAAATATTCTTCATCGAATTTTACTATAAGTCACCAAAGAAAAGAAATCTCTATTTCCAATATATATAAGGAAAATATGTGCATCAATATTGCCAAAAAAGAGGCTAAAATATTTACTAATTTTCATTAAAATATTCTTCGGGCTTTTTTCGAGTTTATGCACGAAAACAACATAAAATGTGGTTTTAGACAGAGAGTGTAAAAATATTCTACACAAATTTTTAAGCTAAGCATCGGAACAAACTATTTATCTATGTTTAGTAGTTTTAAGGAAAATTACGTTCGAAATTTATTTATTGCAAGTGAAATTTTTATGTTTACTTTATTTAGAGCCAATTTAAAAACATTCCAATCTAACTCCAAAATCTCTCAAAAAATTTCTCTTTTTGACGAAACTGTCAAAGAGAGTTATATTCCTTATCAAATTTTACTACAAGTCACAACAGACAAGGAACCTCTATTTCCACTGTATCTCAAGAAAATATTTGCATGAATGTTGCCAAAAAGAAATATTTCAAATTTTTTTTGGATACATTTTTCCTCGGCTTTTTTTAAATTTTTGCATGAAAACAACATAAAATCTGGGTTTAGACAGAAAGTGTCAAAAGAAGAAATATTCTATACAAAATTTAGCGATAAGTCTCGAAACAAATCATTTATCTAGGTATAGTAGTTTTAAGGAGAATTATATTCGAAATTTATACATTACAAGTGCAATTTTTATGATTACTTTTTCACAGCCAATTCAACACCCTTCCATTTTAACTCAAAAATCTCCCTTAATACTTCTCTATTTGATGAAAAGGTCAAAGGGAGATACAGGGTGAGCCATAATTTTTACATTTTTTTTTATAAATTTTACTAAATGAAAGCAAAAATGTCGGAAATAGCATCAAATTTTAGAATAAGTTTAGATTTGTTCGAATTGGTCACCTTTGACACGAATGGTATTTTTTAGTGCCAACCTTGCTTTCCAAAATACTCCAGACACAATAGTCCAACGGATTGGTATCCGGAGATTTTGGTGGCCATTGTGGGCTGGAAATGTAACCATTCTTGGGTGGCGCGTGCTGAGTCCTTTTGGAAAGTCCAAGGTCTGCGTGCCCAAGGCTTTAATACACCCTCCAGAATATTTTCGCGATAATATTCGGCATTTATTCTGATGCCATGGTCGATTAAGACACACCATCAACATGGCCGGCGCTTGAGTTCTAGTGGCCAACCGAAGGTGTACATTTTCAGCTTACCTCTTTGGCAAGTAAACACCTTCTTTTTTTTTGTTTACAAACTGCTGGACAAACCAAATTCGGCAGTTCAACACTTTCGGTCAAGCGAAGCAACTCCTTAGTTCTTCTGAGTCTATTCTCTTTCTGTTGCGGTGTAAGTTCTTGCACTTTTTGGAATTTCAATGACCTTACCCCGAGCTCATTTTTCAATATTTGCTTAATGGAATATTGCATATGTCTAGCTTACGAGCCATTTTTCGACCACTGCGACGCGGGTTTCGATCAAGTCGCTTATTTACTTTTCGAACCATTTCTGCTGATGTCACTGGAATAATTTTAACAGCTGTCGGACGAGTGGATTAGAAATAACAGCAGTCTGAAGTTGGTTGCAGTTTTTTCATCTCACCGTGCATATGGGAGCCATACCCAAACCTCAACCGATTTCAATATAATTTGGCAAATTTATTTTTATTTCAAATTCAGTTACGGATTCCAAACTTGAAGACTGTATCTGTAATCGATCAACAGATATGTGCATATAAAATCTGATGCTATATATCCAGTTCCAAGTGGAATTTATATTCAGGTGATGTTGTAGTATACTTGGAAATTTTCAAGAAAATATGTGCAGCGGTTTCGAGTCCATAAATTACAAAAAAACATTTTCCTTTTTTCTAAATATAGAATAATTTCAAGAAATCTTAAGTCGAATATAGGTAAAATGTGGTTAGGGGCAACTTGCCACTGATCACCTCGATATTCATTTAAGAAGCTATTGATTATTATGTTTCTTATTAGCTTTCGAAACATAGGTATGTTCCAAATAATTGCATATTAATATGTATTTGCGTTATGGCAATTTGCTCATATTTATTTTTTTTTTTGTTTATACAAATAACATATCTCTACATCTCATTCTGCACCTCATCATCGTCATTTTCGTTGCAAGCAAAACATATATTTATGAATGAACCAAAAAAAACCTAATTTCTATTTAATAACACAATTTTCACAGAGAGATGTAGACGACGAGTTAATGTGGTGGCAATAAACAGCAACAAAAACTATAGGAAACCTCAAACACCATAACACACGGCCAGCCATTGTTATTTTTTCTGTTTTTGTCTTTTCCCATAAGAAACAACAACAACAAACACAACAACTTAATATTGTGGTTGAGACATAAAAAAACCCAAAAGGGCGTTACTACTTGGCGAGAGAGAGAGAAAGAGATATGGATGAACGGTAACCGTAAATGTGTGGTATGTGTGAAAGGGAAAAGAAATGTTTACTCCACTGGCATGTGAGAGCGAAAGAGAAGCCAAGGCATTTGTATTGATGGTGAGATATTCGTGTGGTGGGATTGCTATTATTATGTAGGAGAGTGGTAAATAAAGTCTGGTGATCATGAGAGCTAGAGTGAGAGAGTAAAGGAAGAGTGTTCTCCCCCACATCAAGGAGCGGAGTAATGCAAATGAGCTGCTGAGATTTAATTTCTTTTAATGAGAAATTAAATGAATGGTGAATAATTAATTGTAAGTAAATTTGTATTAAAAGAAGATGAATGTGAAAGATTTTTGTTGGGGGGGTTATAAAACAAATGAGAATTTCACTAAATGCTGAGGTTATTTTTTTGTCATTTGTTGGGAATCCTAAGCTGAGCTTAAGGGAGCAATGGATGCTGCCGGATGCAGATGGGCAAACAGTTTTAGTAAAAAACTCTAAACGTTAAGTGAATAACGCGCACGGTTTTAAGTGGAAATTTTTCTCATGAAAATTATAGTTAAAAAAAAATAGAATAAATAAAAATTGAAAAAATAAATTGAAATATTTTTTTAATGAATTGTGGAAATTTAGAATTATTTATTTATAAAATAATAACAGTCAATAAGAAAAATCATGAAATCATGTGTTACCAACAACAACAACTTAAATCGCAATTTGCCCTTAAATAATAAAAGTAAAACTACAAAAAATCGCCACAATACAAATTCCGCAAATTCCCTATTGACAAATGCGGCCAATATGAAAATAACCAAAGCAATTGTAAATTCGAAACAACAACAACAGCAACGTAAAACCGCAACAACACCAGCCAAGGGATCAAATACACTCCACGCCAAATCTACATCATTTGACGGGGTGTCCCACCTTAACAGGGTGGAGGGGTTGAATATGACCGAAGGCCAGGATTTGAATTTGAATGCTAGAATCCTTAAAGAGGATGCTTCGCATACAAAGAAAGAGAGCCTAGCCGAGAAAGAGATGGCCTATGGCAGAGAGCAAAGATCAGCCACACAACCAGCAAATACCCATACCCACACACATGGCTTGGCAGCAGCAGCAACAACAACACCACCAACAACGGCGACGGCCAGTAATGAAACAACAAACTCGTCAATGCCTTTGTATGCAGGAGTAACAAATTCGAGAGAGCATAACCATGACAACAACAACTACAGTGGAAACCAGCAGGCTCTTCAGAGCAATAACAACAGCAACAACAACAACAACGGTAATTCAACTGCCTGTAGTGAGTTTTTAAGGTCTGGCACGAATTTGAATTTATCGTCTTTGGCTACGAAACCACCACAGCTCATATCAGTTGTCAACGAACGATCAAACCAAACAGTGTTACGTACCACGACAGCACCGACGACAACTACGACGACCACGACAAACCCACCAAACGATGACAGTGATAATAATACAATAATCAAAGTCAGCAATAATAATAATAACAACAACAACAGCCAAGTGACCACAAATCGAGGAGATCAACAACCGATAGATTCTCCTCAGAATTATCAGCAATCTTTGGAATCTGTGAAAAAAATCTCAACTCTAAATTTCAACGTGAAAACGAGTGACAATGAAAGTGTTACAACAAATGGCAAATTAGCAACCACAACAACAACAACAAATACAAGTGCAAATCCGAATTCAAATACCACAATAACAACAAATTCTAGTGATAATACAACAAGCCCAAATAAAACAGTGATAAATAGTGTAATAACAACAGCAACAACAAATCATAACAACAACAACAACAACAACAACAACAACAATAGTGCAAAAGAATCTCATTTGAAATCTGAACAAAATAATACCAGTGTCGAACTCCCAACCACCAACCATCATCACGAAGAGAATCTCACGCCACAAAATTATCGCGGCCTCAACAACTCTGTGATCATCACCAACTATCATCAAAACACGCACAGCATTCAGAATTCCGAATTCAATGCCTCCACGATACTCAATGTTGCCAGCAATGATCCGAATCTGAATTTAGCCGTGACGGGACATAATTTGCAAACGACCTCCGATATTACGGCCGAACATTTGCAGGTTGCAGGTGGCCACAGCGACGAACAGCAACAACAAATTCTACATCATCATCCACAACAACAGCAACAACAACATCCCCAGTCCCTGGCCAATTGTCCACCGGAACACTGGCTGAATGCCGCCTACAACTCCTGTGCCTATGACCTGTCTTTAAATCACCCATCATCGAATTGTGCCGACTTGGGTTTGCAACTTCTACCCTCACCACATCACACACCCCACGGATACTACAATCCCCATCCACATCACCCCCATCATCTGAACAGTAGTAGTCCCCTTACCCCCAGCTATTTACAAGAAGAACACAACGCCACAATGCGTTCCAATCTAGCCCTCTACACAACGCCCTATGGCTCACATCACGAACATCACCTGCATCAGCATGGTCTGATGGGCTCACAGACCACCGGTCCCACCATACATCACACATACGATGAGATCATACAGGACACACTCAAAGACGAATGTCTCGAAGAACATCAGACGGGCGCGAGCTATTTAACCCTAAATCCAGTGGACATACAATCTCTTAAGGATACCTATCATTCGCCAGGTTTGGGTCAAGAAATAACCCCCCTCACAGCAATTGCCCCCGCCCATCTGCAGGCACCGTCGCCCACCACAGCATCACAACATCATCACCTGCATGCCATCCATTACATACAACACAACAATTCGGCCAGTTCGGGTGGAAATTCACCCTCACCCTCGTCGGGCCTATCGCAATCGGGTGGCGACTTGGCAACTCTACAGAATTTCACACAATTGACAACTGCCTCCGCGGGACCAACGGGACATCGTGATATTTACAGCATGCTGAGCGGACCCGAACAGGGACAAATGTTCAGTTTCACCTCACCACCATCACCGGTCCTGGCCAATGGGTAAGTAGGATGAGATGTGTTTTTAATTTGTTCTTCCTCTAGAAAATTAAGAGTTTTGGGATTTGAAAATATTTTCCGATTTATTTTGGTTTCAAAATCGTTCAGAAATTTTTTCTGTAATGTTGTACAAAAGTGAGTTTCAGAACAGAAAAGGAAAATATTATTTTTGCACAGAAGGGAGAAAAGCTGAAAGGAAAATTTTTAGACGAGCTGAAGGCAGTCTTTATGGACTAGCTGAAAAGAGCCTATTTAGAAGAGCTGAAATAAATATTTTTAGGCGAGCTCAAGACAGCGTTTATTAACTAGCTAAAGAGAGTCCATTTGGAAGATTTGAGAGGAGTCATTTTAGACGAGTTGAGGTCCGTCGACCTGTCGTCTTAGAGGCAGTCCTCAAAGACTACCTATAGATGATTTTTAAAGAGGACCTATTGGGGTTTTTGTGGACGACCTCAAGGGAGTCTTTTTAGGCTTGTAGAAGGGTTACTCTGGACACAAAGTGAAGGGTGTTTCATAAAGATTTGAAACGAAATATTAAAAAAAAAATAAAAAGAAAATAATTTTTTTTTTTTTGAAAAAATAAATTTAAAAATATTGAAAACCAAAAAAACACATTGCAACATAAAAAATGATTATGGGAAAAAATCCTGAAGATTATGAAAGTGGATGTAAAAAAAGAAGGAGCAGGTAGGGGCTTTTTGAAAGCTTACATCGGGGGGCAAGTTCTCCCCCTCATTCACAAGTATTCGAATTAAGATTAATCGGAATCCGTGGATTTTAGGTATATAGTGTTTTAGGCAATATTGCAGATAAAAATACGGGGAATATTTTGATAAAAAACCTTAACCCTCTATCGAGCCAACAAAGGGGTCCTTTTGGTCCTTTTTTGAAAATATGATTAAAAACTCCCTTTAAACGGGTTCGTAGCAAGTCAAAATATTCTACAGAACTATTTATCATAAAATTCTACTATAGGTCCCAGAAGACGTCAAAAGTCTATATCTTACCTAAACGTCAGGAAATCATATTTATAAAAAAACACATTTTAGGGTTAAAGCCGTACTTTATGTGAGTTTATGTAAAATTCTCCTACAAGGCAGCACTTTAGAAGGATGACGTCAAAGACAAATATATTCTTTATCAAATTTTACTATAAGTGAGCAAAAGAAAAAAAATCCCTTTCCATATTATAAACAAAAAATACATGTACAAAAAAATCCTAATTTTTTTTTGATAAATTTGTCCTCGGACTTTTTTCGAGTTGACGGCTAAATGTAACATAAATCTCCATTTTAGGCGGAGTGTTTCAAAAGAGGAAATATTCTACGCAAAATTTCACTATAAATCTCAGAATAAATCATATATCTAGGCTCAACAGGTTTTAAGAAAATTACATCCGAAATCTATGTATTGCAAGTGCAAATTATGTGTTTACATTTTATACTGCCAAACACAACATGTTTCCAATAAAAGTCAAAATCTCCCTTAAAACATCAGTTTTTGGGGAAAAGGTCAAAGGTAGACTTATTGTATATTAAATTTCACTATGAGTCACCAAAGAAAAGAAATCTATTTTTTCTATTACATGTCATGAAAATATTTACATCAACGTACCCCAAAAAAAAAAAGGCGAAAAATATTTCCAATTTTTTTTTTTTCATTAAATTTTCTTTGGACTTTTTTCGACTTGACGCCTGAAAGTAACATAAAATATCCTTGTAGGTGAAAGGTGTCAAAGGAGGAAATATTATTCACAAAATTTCACCGCAAATCTCAAAATAAACCATATCTCTAGGTGTAATAGTTTTTTTGGAAATTACATCCGAAATCTATGTATTGCAAGTGCATATTATGTGTTTACATTTTGTACTGCCAAACAAAACACGTTTCCAATATGAGTCAAAATCTCCCTTAAAACATCAGTTTTTTGGAGAAAATGTCAAAGGTAGACTTATTGTATATTAAATTTTACTATGAGTCACCAAAGAAAATAAGTCTATATTTCCATTACATATCATAAAAATATTGACATCAACGTAACCAAAAAAAAAGCGAAAAATATTTCCAATTTTTTTTCATTAAATTTTCTTTGGACTTTTTTCGACTTGACCTATGAAAGTAACATAAAATATCCTTGTAGGTGAAAGGTGTTAAAGGAGGAAATATTCTACACAATATTTCACTATCATTCTCAGAATAAACTATATCTGTAGGTTTAATAGGTTTTATGGAAATTACATTTCAAATTTAATTATCAAGAGTGGAAATTATGTGTTTGCTTTTTTACCAACTAATTTAACACCTAACCAACCCGAGTCAAAAATCTCCCTGTATACTTAATTTTTTGGAGACGGTGTAAATGGCAGAATTATTCTAAATCGGATTTCATTGCGAGTCTCTGAACAAACGAAAATTGTACACTTAATGTGTTGCATAGAAATAATGGCATCAATTTTTGTTGAAAAAATTAGGGAATATTTTCGGTTTTTTTTATTTTTGAGGGAAAATTGATGCGTATATTTTTAGGTTTTGCAATGAAAATGGAGGTTTCCAAAACTAGATTTCAAAAAATATTTAACATTTCTGGCAGTCGTTGAACCTAAAAATTTGGAAAAAATATTCACTGCCCCACGTTGGGCGCCATCACAAAAAAAAAAAAAAATTAATTAATTAATTGAACAAATCAATGGTTTTACAATGAAAATGGAGATTTCCTTTCTTATAGAAATGAGTGGCTTAGAAATGACAACAGTCTGAAGGTGGTTGCAGTTTTTTTTCTCTCACCTGCAATAGAAACCCTTTATAAAACCTAAAATAATGTTTCAGTTCACCACATTCATGATCCGACTATTTTTTCTCAGTGTATATCCATATGGAAATAACTAAAATATAAAACTAAATAATAAAATTAAAACATACCACAAACCAAAAAAAGAAAAACAAGGCAAAAATACTCTACACATACCTTCGACCACAAGAGACCCACAGGAGGAAACTCTGCAGTAAACAAATAAACATTTTACGTTACAATTATTTTTGCCAGTAACAAACGACGCCAGCAACCACGACCGCATCGCGATCACCTTCTATGTGAAATTTTACAAAAAAAAAAAAAAAAAAAAAAAAAAAAAAAAAAAAAAAAAACGCTTTCAAATGTGTGTGTGTGAGTAAATAGAGTAGAGTAATTAAATTTACCAAATATGTGTGTAAGTATGTATGCGGTAACCCACAATTAGCTACATACATATGTTAAAGGTAAATGTTTCAATAACATTTTTTCACACTGCGGGTTCACACACACACAGAACACCACCGCGCTTTTATTTGACACAACCAACCGTCTGGACGAGTTGCAAACCTAAATAAACTAATAAAATATATACAGACAGACATACATACATACTTACATGTCTATAGATGTCTGTACACAAATTCCCATATTTGTCTACAGTGACCACCGCCGCCGCCACCACCAGGGTCTAGTCAATTAGCCTTAGCTTTGCTGAAGTTTTTTTTTTTGATTTTTCCTTCGAATCCAAGTAAATTAAGTTGAGTCGTTTTCAATAACATCAGCTCTCAAGTTACCTGAGTCGTCTCTCCTTTTGCCGGAGCTGAAATGGCAGGCCAAAAAAAAAACTGCATTTAAGCAAATATTTTAGTGGTCATTAGACCAGAAAAATAAAGAAATTTTTTTTCAATTTTTTGTGGGTTACACCTGGTAGTATTTTGAAAAATGGAGTTTTTCATTTCGAAGAACGTGTTCAAATTAACATTCAGTTTCAACACCCCCTTCAAAAAATTGGGTTTTCATTTAAACTCCCGCATAAGCTGCGGAAATAGTAAAAATTAGTTTGGTGTGCTTAGCCAGAGTTTTTTTTTCACATGCCTCACTTGCTTTGTAAGTAGGGGTCTTGGCCAGTTGGGCGCCACAATTAGAGCACGTGTCCAAAGATCAAAAGCTGTTTTGCTCTATTTTCAATTCAAGCAAAGAATTGATTAAGAGAAATGAGGGCGGAATTTAAAAAGAAGAGCCAAAACGAAATAAGCTATCATGGGACATTCTCAAAAGGTACACAAGTACTGGAAAGTGGGTACCAGACTTCCGAAAAAAAAATTCGCTCGAATTTAAACAGAGAGAGGGAGAAAATCACTCGAATTCGTAAGGGAGCGGAGAAAATTGATATGAGTCAAGTTTTTTTCTTGCTTAATTTTTAAGTTTAACGTTTCCAATAAACGATTTTTAATTCAAATTCCAAAGAATTCATATTTGAACCCTCCAATACAGGAATATGGGGAAAAAACATTTAGTGTCCCACGTTGGGCGCCATCTAGAAAAATTCGTTTTTCGATTTCCTTAATTTTTAAGTTTAACGTTTCCAATAAACGATTTTTATTATAATTCCAAAGAATTCATATTTGAACACTCCAATACAGGTATATGGGGAAAAAAACATTTAGTGCCCCACGTTGGGCGCCATTTAGAAAAGATCGATTTTTAATCCATTACAATACTAGATTTCACAAAATCCACAATTTTTGTCATTAAAAACACCAGCAGTCTCATTTCCTATAACAATTTTAAGTAAAGCTTTGATTTGGGCGCCATTCATAAAAATATCCATTTCGCCGTAAACAGCCTTCGGCGGGTGAGTTGCTTGGGTGTTTACTAAAAATATAAATTGCTGGAAGTCGTTGAACGTAAAAATTTGGAAAAAATATTTGCTGCGCCACGTTGGGCGCCATCCAAAAAATAAATATTTATTAAACAATAAATATTTATTAAACAAGGTTGTTCATTTTAAATTTTGTTAGGCTTCGACAAAATATTTGCCACACTCACAAAATAACAAAAAATTAAATATTTTCAAAATTAAAACCCAAAAAAATTAAAATAGGGTTTTGTTCAAAATAGTTACGTTTTCTAAGGGACTACAAAAAAACATTCATCAGGAATCTGGGATTTGAAGATATTTCCAAAAATATATTTTCTCCTAATATCAAAA